AGCTCCAGCATAGATTCTACTTCTTGGTGTTTCTACCTCTGCCCAGAATCCCCTCGCTACAAAATCCCAGATGTTCAAATCCATTGTTCAAAACTCAAAGCACCAAAGGAGAGTGTATTTGTATCATCCAGTATGGTAATAACTAACCATATGTGGCTATTAAGCCCTTGAGATTGGCTAATGTGATCCAGAACTTGAACTTCAATTTAATTTTCATTAACTTTAATTTAAATAGCATACATGGTGTTTGACTTAATAAACAGTATCACTCCAAACAGGTAATTCTCTGATTTTAACCTTTAGCAAATTTATCCAAAGGACGTTAAAATAGTTTGCTGAGATCCATCCCCAGTGGAAGAATTTATATCACTAACAAGTTCTTGGGTCATTCTAATGATGCTGGTTTAGGGACGATACTTTGATTACCACTGACCTGTAGCTGAAAGTTCTAGACTTAGATACCTCTAGACTCATATAGTATAGCATGATGGTATGGACTGGAGATTTTCAAAACATGGTTTCTAGACCAGACACATAGTCATCACCTAGAACCGTGATGGCCAACCTTTTAGACCTTTCAGTGACAATAAACAGTCTGCTGAGCCACATCGGCCATAGACTCACCAGTACTGACCTAGAAGTACCACAGAATTTCTAATGTTAAACTAGAGTTTCCAATGTTAATCATGGATCATAAATTGCATTTTGGCAGGACTCCCAGGGGACAATATAGTCTGAGAACTACTTTTTAGACAATTATTCCTTTAGGTCAGGGACTTCACTAATCTTTGAATCTCCAGCACTAAGCATATTTGCTGGTCCATAGTTGATGTTCTACCAGTAGAAAGATGCAATGGTTAAGCTTGACTGGGTCAACTAGAATGCCTTAGGAGACACTCGGGAGATTGACAGAGCATCTCCTGGGCAAGTCTGATGAGGGTTATGGAAGAGTAACCTTAAGTACTATATCTGGTCCGTTGCCCCTTCTTCTCTGGTGCTATTCCCATTCTCTGCTTCCTAGCCACTATAAACTAAGCATTGTCCCAGCAAGATAGCTTTGCCTTGGAACCAACTGACTATGGACTGGATTACCTGAAACCATGAGCCAAATAAACCTCTCTTCTTTTAAATTATTAGGTACTGTGTCTCACAGTGGGAAAGCTGACAAATACAGAAAACTGGTATCTTAGAAGTGAGGTCTCAGCTGTGATTGTCTCTGACCACATAGATTAGAGGCCTTTCGAAGGTTTAGAGTTACAGTTTACAGGAGGAGTTTAGAAAGGTTTGGAGATGAAGACTGGAGGAACCTTAGAGCTCCTTAAGGGGGATAACGGTCAGAGTTCAGATGATCAAATGCTGATAGAAATGTAGACAGCAAAGGCCAGGCTCGGGAGGTTTTGGTTGAGAACAAGGACTCCACTGGCATTGAACCAGAGGCCATGTGTGTTATACTCTAGCAGGAAATCTGTCTTCATCTGTCCTGAGATTTTTGTAGGAGCCTAAAATTAAGTACAATGGACTGACTGACTGGGAAGATAAAATTTCAAAACAGTGCAATATTCAGGCTATGGCATGGTACCTCTGGCTGCTTTTAGGCAGATTTATAGTAAGAATCAGGGGCGAAAAACAGAATACAAAAAATTTAAAAGTTTAAATGTTGGCCCCAAAACAGCCATACATAAAGTTAAGCCCAGTGTCTGCTGAAAAGATTAGCCCCATTTAAAAGAAACCAAGTATTGTACAGGACCAAAAAGAGGTGCTTTGAGGGCATCTGAGAAATCATCAATTCCCCACCTATCACAGGTTCAAAGGTGCAAAAGTATAAAACTTTCACCTGAGAAGAGAGCCTTTGGGACCCCTAGGGAACTGGTTCCCCAAGGTTAATTTCACCATCAGCAATCCAGGCACTCACAGACTGACAGCAGACCTTGGCATCCTTTATGTGATGCTAGTTTTACCAGCATGAAGAATAGAAAAGCTGTGGATTATGGGAGGCTTCCATGTAGATTTCAAAGGAAAGACTGGGAGGCCAGGCAAGGAGCCTTAAGCAGACAGTGCATGAAGCTGTCATAGTCACTTTCCTTGTTGCTGAGACAAAATACCCAACATCCAACATGAAGGGAGGAAAGGTTTATGCAGCTCAGTTTGTAGAGGTTTCAATCTACAGGCAACTGGTTCCAAGGCAAGGTGGCATGGCAGACCAGCATGGCAGAGGAGAAACCATTCATGGCAAGCGAGAAAGGAGCCTTAATGGCTTCTTTCTGCCCCTTTTATACTTTACCTGGGCTACTGGGATTAGGGTGATGCCCAACCAATCAGTGGACTGATTTAGTAATCACACACCATTAATCCCAGCATCATACAATCTAGATTCAGCTGCCTCTGAAAAACCCTGCATTGGGCCACATGAGGCTTTGGGGGAACATTTAGGCACAAATCATAACAGGTCCATAAAGATCCAGTTATTTGGAAATGCTATAAACGTAGAATGATTGCTGAAGAAATCTACAGGCTGTAAATGGAGCCAGAGAGGTTATGTAAGCCACCCAAGCCTTCTGGAGCTCACAGCTCACCACTATATGCCCCACTTGCCAGGCATGGAGGCACAGCACTTAATATCTACCCTGCTGGCCTTTAGTCTTACTGTGGCTCATTTGTTTTCTATCCTCTTACCTCACTTTTAGGATGGGAATGTTTACTCTGTGCAATTGTACTTTAGGATTGCATAACTTGCTTTTTCCTTTATAGGGACTCATAGCTGAGAGTTTGTCTTGAGTCTAAGAAGTGACTTTGACTTGGATTTTTGAAAAGAGCTGAAACTTTCAACTTTGGTAAAAGGTTTTTTATGTTTTCAGTTGTGCTTGTATCATGTTAAATGAAATTATGACTTTGTGTTTGTTTGGGGATTAAGTATGTTGTGGTTTGTTTAAATATCTCTCTAAAGCCTCATTCAGTCATGGAAATGCGTCTTGCCAGGGCAGCTGAGTGTAGCGTTTGTGATTGGTTTGTTGTCTAGTACTGGGATTGGCGGTGTAAGTGCTGACTGCAGCCAGGGGTAGGTAGCTGGCATACAATATAAGGGAGGAAGGGAAGCATGCCTTTCCCTTTTTGCCCTTTTACTCTTGTCACTTGTGGACACCATGAACAGTTGCCCCTTAGCCACACCACCCTGCCCTGGAGCCACCCTACCTTGGACTGCAACCTCCAAAAACTGTAAGCTAAATAAATCTTTCCTTCCTTTATTTTGGGCATCAAATATTTTGTCTCAGCAACAACAACAACAACAAAAAGTCACCAAGACAATTATCACTTAAGGAGATGAGTTTGAGTATTAAATTGAAAAGGGGTGAGATGTGACACTTAAATTTGATTGTGTCAGCTTGACTGGCTTGAGAGATACTCAGGGGGTTGGTAGAGCACACTTCTGGGTGTGTCTGTGTAGGTTTTGGAGGAGTGACCTTGGGTTCTCTATCTGTCCTTTCACCCTTTCCCCTCTGGTACTGCTCCCATGCTTCGATTCTTGGGTGCCATGAACTAAGCAGCTTAGCTCTACCACACCCTCCACCATGATATTCCTGCCTTAAGCTTCGTGCCATGCACGAAATCTGCGAGCCAAAAATCATGAGCTTTTTAAATTGAGAGTGCTCAGTACTATGGCCCTGTGCTGGGAAATCTGACAAGTATAGAAGAACAGAAATAACAGGGTTTCAACAAATACTTGTAAGAGCAAAGAAGCAAATGAGATACAAGTTGCCAAGTAGTGTATGAATTTCTTACTACATGAAGTTTTCTCTTTGAAGAATGGAGCCACAGTCCATATCCCAGAACTAAAGAGACAAAGAAGGTAGGTCCTCTGATAAGAGATCAGCAGACTCATTCTATGGAATGAGAGTTTCCCATGAAGACGTCACTTACAGCCCTTGATCCCCATTTCCTTGGTCCTCACACCTTTGAACTGTTAACCCTGGAGGACTCTGACTCTTGAGTCTTCCGGGCTTTGTAAATGAGCACTGAAGATGACAGGCTGACCCAACAGTGTCCCAGGAAGGGAAAGAGGAAATCATACCCAGCTCATGCAGCAAAGCACTCCCAGCTACACAGCATTCTTCCCAGCTATGCAGGTATCAGACACAGCCCTATTCACCTCCATCCTCCCCAGCATCTTCTGACCCACATCTCTAGGCATCAGAACTGAATGCTGATCCTAAATTGGACATAGAATTGTTGAACTTGAAGGAAACACAGGAATCAATATAAATAGAGAAGCAAACACCAGTACCCCATGCAATAGAGTGGTTCAGTGCCCTGGAAGGTAGTAGAAAGGTCCAGTTCTCCTGAATCCTGACTCAAATTTCCAGACACAAGGCATGGCCACAGTCTTTCAGCCTCTCACTTATAAAGTTCTCAAGGGATCTGATTCAAGGGATACCAGACTGGAGTTGAAAAGAAAAAATGATCAGCTTTTCCTCCTGGGGAACAAAAGATTCTGTTTCTTGGTAATTACAAATAGCCTGCCAGACTATAATGAAAGGCAATGTCTCTTCCCATCTGGGTACAGCTGGGGGCCATCCCTCAACAGCAAGCTGGGTGACAGAGGAAACCTAGTCTGATGGAAAGAGAAATGAAAAGGGAAAGATAAAAGGAAGGGATGGGGAAAGGAGGAGAGGGAGGAGACAGACAGCAAGGGTAGCAGGATAAAAAGCAAAGCATAGCATATTCACTGGAAGGTTTGCGGGTTGACTCATCTAGGTGAAGGGTAGTCCCAGGGAGAGTCCTCAGAAAAAAGGATAAAAGAGATAGTCCACTTTCTTTCCCTCCCAACTTGTTTCTTCCTCCCCAAGAGAGCTGAGAGCTAGTGTTTGGTGAGCCACTGGGTGCCTGTCTCACACTGATGCCCTAAAGCCTAGGATGTGTGTTAGCCCTCTTGGACGCAAATCCCATGACCCAGCCAGGACTCAGGGCCTGAAAGTGGGATTGCCAACCCCAGGTGAGGCCTCTACCTTGACGGGTCTGCCACGATCCAGTGAAAGGACCCATGCTGCCTGCCAGCTCACACTTCTGAGCCCATGGGCCATTGTCTCCTAGAAATCAGGGGGAAAGAAAACAAAACATGTAATTGTCACCAGGCTGGAGGATTCTTTCACCAACTCCTCCTTTCTAATCCCATGTCGCTGTGCATGGCAGGGAATTGTAAGAAATATTTGTAAAGGTGAACACAAGTCCTAGCTGTGAAGTTCCCTTGACATGAGTCTGACTCTACGAGGCTCATAGAGGAGTGCTTCCCCTGCTCCAATTGGCCCCATCCTGAACCTCTACCCTTATAACCCTTTACCTTCTTTATATAGCTTCAGCAATCACATTACCATTGTCATAATCATCAACCCAGTAGCTATACACTGAGCATCTATTATATACCTCATGCATCTCATAATCTTGCAACATGCTATGAAGTAGATTCTTCTAGAAGTTCAACTTTTAAAGGATTGGGGATTAATGGAACTCTCCCAATAGTAGAATATGGATTCAAATCCAGGTCTCAACTTGATTCAAAATCAGTTTTTGAACTACTTCAATTTTTAACTACTTCCCTTGTTCCAGACAGGGACCTGAGACACACACAGTCCCTATGTGGGCCCCTTAAAGGAATCACTTGTTCAATTACTAGGGCCACTGAGCCCTAGCCCTGGCAACCAATGGCAATGGATGTCTTTGGGAGCAGGAAGACTGAAGAGAAAACCCCAGAATTGCACAAGAAACACACAAACTCACAAGGTCAGAGTAATTTACTAGTGAGTAAAAGCAATATCCACAGAGCCTGAATCATGCATGGGGCCAGCCAGGTGCGTGCTCTGTCAGTGTAAACTGTTCCAGGGCTCAGCCTCAGAGCACGCAATAGACACACACTGAGCATTCAAGGCCAAGAGTTCAAAGCCAGCCCCCATTCCATATAGAAGGTCACTGGGTCAGGCTGTGCTCTTCATGGGGCATGTGCAGGATTATCCATTAGTGGAGCTAGTCAATGTAGCTTTTATTTCCTCACCTGTAAACCAGAAGAATGTGTGTTCTTTCGCTGTGCGGTCAACTGTGTCCTTGATCTCACCCACCAGACTGTCCATCTCCCGGAGACCTGCTTGATATGGCCTTTGGCCTTGTGGGTTTGCCAACGGCTGGGTCGCAGATATGGGCACGTGCATGTGGGCCAGGGCTATGTAGAGTAGGAAGGGTCTTCTACTGGCACTGAAAAGTGAGAGAGCTAGGTGGTCATTGCGGGAGGCTGACCCAGCTGGTCCAGTGCCCCTGGGCTGCTCCATGACTTCAGGAAAATTCCCCCAAAGGGTCTGCCCAGAGGCTCACGAAGGATCTGTTTACCTACAACCTTCTAAGGAAATGTGGAAATCATCTGGTCAGCTAGTTAAAAATGAGAATATGATAATAATACTGTCTTTTAATATTTACTGAGAACTTATTATAGGGGACTCATGCTGCCTAAATTCATCCTAATAAGCCCCAAAGTCTATTTTTTTTAGACAATGAACTAACAACTTGTGGGAATTAAAGGACTTGTTCCATGTTATACAACTAGCAAGTGACAGCCTGAATCTTAGCTCAGATCTGGCAAGAGCAAAGCCCTTGTTCTTGGCCGCTGCACTGCAGTGGAGGCATCCAGACCATAGCATCTGTCCTAGGAGATGAGTGGATGGCTCAGCTGACCACAGGAAATCCCAAGGACACATGACCACCAGGGGAAATTGAGATCAAGGCTCTGTTAGAGGTCTAGGCATCTGACCACTTCCATACTAATCCTGACTCTGTGGAAAAATGCAAAATAAAAAGCTTGGAGAGAGCTGGGGTGGCCTCTAAGCAAATTCTCCATGGACACTGGTACCGCTCGGAAAGCTCTCTGTCCCCCCACGCCATTGCCTGATGAGAGCAGCTGCAGGGATCCAGGTGGATGCCTCTTCTCAATGGCCACACATGGGATGGGGTCTTCTAGAGGACCCAGAATGAGGAAGCAAGTCACCTCACACACAGAGTGGCCACAGAAGCTGGCCCTGGACACCAGCTCACACAGGGTTCCCACTTTCCCTTTGGCTCCCCTGGTTCACCACCCTGTGCCTCAGCTCAGCAGCAAGGTATGCCAGAGAGCCCTGCTCCCGGAGCCACTAATAGGGTGGTGCTTGTCTGCATCCTCTCTGCAGGGATAAAACCCAGGACAGTAAAACAAGGAGCAAGGCAGAGTGTAGGTCTTGGGAAGCAGGAAGAACATGTTTGAATGGGAAAGGGAACAAAGCAGTGGGGAGGGAGAATGAAAGAAATAGAAAAGGGATTTTTAAAAAGAGAAACGAAGGGAAACAGGGAAAGGAAGCTTTCGTAAATGGGGAGGGGAAGAAGAGTTCACGGGGGCAAACGGGAAAAAAGAATTGGGACACATTACAAATTCTACATGGTGAATGATTGTTACGTATGGCAAACACGGGCTAGTTAAAACAAACAAAAAAGAGGGCGCTAGTCCCAAGACAGGGTCCTGTGCCTTCTCCATATTAACTCACAGGTTCCGCACCATATTTGTAGAGCTGTGCTGTCCAAGGGTCATGGAGCTGCTTGTAGTAAATTAGCAAAAACTAAGTCAAGTTAAATTTTCACATCTGTGCCTCCCATGCTAGAGTATAGATAACTCTGAGGACGTTATGCTAACTCTAGTCACCAAATGACAAATAATAGGACTCTACTCATATGAGGTTCTGGGGTCATTAAACTCAGACACTAAAAGCAGCAGAGTGAGATCAGAGTCCCCCAGCCCAAAGACTAAGGGAGCACTCATCTTCCCTGCCAGGCTGGGACCCCTGCAGCGCTGAGCTTAGGACTTTCCAAGGAAAGAGAACGATTGCTTTTAATTAGGGGAGAGGAGGAGGAGTAAAGAGAAAAGATGAGTAAAAAGAAATCAAAGGAGAGGAGAGGGAAGAAAAAGGGAAGGGAAGGGAAGGGAAAGAAGGGAAGGGAAGGGAAGGAAGGGAAGGGAAGGGAAGGGAGGGCAAAGCAAAGCAAAGCAGATAGCTAGGAAGTGGAAAAGAGAAATGAGGCGTTACATAGGTACAAAGTTCTAGTGAGCGAAGCTAAAAACGTTCTGCAGGGAAGCAGAAGTGCAGGTTGCACACTCTTGGAATGTACTTAATACCATAGAATTTTACCCTAAAAAATGGTTAAGATCAGCCAGATCTGGTGGTGCAAACCTTTAATCTCTGCACTCTGGGAAGCTGAAGCAGCCCAGCCTGAGCAACTCAGTGACTTTGCCAGACCCTGTCTCACAAGGCAAAATAAAACAGAGCTGGAGTTGTGGCTCAGTGTGAAGGCCCCGGTTCAATCCCCAGCCTCACAAAATGAATAAATGAACAAAAATAAGACTGTTAAAGTGGTAAATTGTGTGTGCATGCACGTGCATGTGCGGCTTTCGAAACCATGCCCTAGAAAGCTACACTGCGGCTCCTCTCTTCAGCTCCACATCTCGTGGGATGCTTGAGGTCAGGCTCGCTGAGATTTACCCCACTGAAACTGGCAAATGCGCCAGATGGGGTTGTTTTCTCAGGCAGTTGTGCATTAAACATTCACTAGCTCACAAATCACCATGGCACACAGTCTAGGAATGGTCCCAGTGCTCATCCTGAGCCCCACCTCCCATGCCCATCCTGAGCCCCATCTCCCATGCCCATCTTCCAAAGTCCCACCATTGCCCATGTCACATGAGCAGAGTCTTGAAGACACAGGTGATGATGAGAGATGGCAGAGGGCACAGATGAGGAGCACAGGCTTGGGAGAGCAGCCTGAAAATCCCAGGATGTTCTCTGGATGGCTGTGTAACCATGGGTAATTAACTTAACCTCCACCATCTGCGAAATGGGACAACCTTACCCCAAAGTTGAGAGTAGTGGGCATTTAATAAGTGGTATCTTTTTATTAATAATTAGGAATAATACATGCTAGCAGTAATAAAGATGAATAGTACCCAAAGATATGCTCATTCCCTGCACCCTGATGCCAGGCTAGGATTCATAAAGATGACACTATGTACCCACCTGTCCCCTGGGGACATCTGTGCCCCGAGGCACTCATCATTTCAGGTGCTTGTGCTGAATGCAAAACAGAGTTGGGGAGACTTTGTGTTTGGGGGGTGAAAAGTGCTGATTATAAGACAGCACTGCTACTTATTTTTGGTTTATTTTGTTTTGCTTTTTGAGACAGAGTCTTGCTTTGCAATCCAGGCTGGCCTTGGTAGTCCAGGCTGGCTTTGAACTCCCAGGGGTCCTCCTACCTCAGCCTCCCGAGCGCTGAGACTACACCACCATGCCCCGCTCCCTTATTTTTTTAAAATATGTCCACTTCAATTATATCTTAATAAAGTTGGGTGAAATATGTTTATGCACAAGCAGAGTATGGGACTGGAGGAACACTTGCAGATACATTGAAAGGAGTTGTCTTGAGGTGTGGAATTCAGGGTGGTGGGGATTTTTGTTGTTATTGTTTTCTTATCTCCATTCTTGTAAATTTCTAAAGGGAACACATTATTTGCATGTCAAAACCAGAGCGGTGAGCAGAAGGAAACAAACAAACAAATAAGATGCAAGAAGGAACATGCCAGCAGAGAGCAGATGAGGCAAGGTACAGACGTGCTGACGTTTCAGGGTCAGCCGCGTCCTGGAAAAACATCTCAGAAATGCAGGCAAGGGGCACCCTCCTTTCAAGAAAGGTTTCTCCCAGATGCCTGACCAGAGACAGACAAGTATCTAGGGGTAGCCCCCTGAGGTCTCTAGAATTGATGCTGAAACAGTCCCCATCCCCAGCATCTAGAACCAAAAGAGACTGACAGCTCTTTATTTAGAAATCTGCTGGCGGTTACTGCAGCCCCCAGCGTTGGACCAAACACACCAGGCTTGTGTCCACGGCCTTCCCCACTGGGGTCTCCTCTAGTTCCGTCTTCCTGACCTTCAAGACTCTTCCTCTGCATAATCTTCCCAGACCCTGACCCTGGTCCACCTTCCAGCACCTGGGCACACTGCTCTCTGCACAGCACATCCCTGGTTTTCCACTGCCAAAAATACTTGATCAAATGTTATGCTCAGCGCAAAAGCCATCAGCACTGCTACATCAGGATTCACTTTTAGCACCGTAGCTAGATTAAAGGTTCAAACTCAAGCAAAGACCACAAAAAAATGCTCCAGAGAGTCTTGGATAGACTTTCTTGCCAAGGAAGAGCAGAGGCCATGTTCCAGGAGGACCTGGAAGTCTTGGCAACACAGGTCCAAGACTCCGGGGTTCATAGTTGCAGCAGGGCCTAGAAGAGGAAGTCAGAACAGATGGGGCCCTTTCTGCTGAAGCTCGGAAAGTCATGGGTGAACCGTCATCCATTCCAGAAGAGATGGATACTCTGAATACCATGCTCTGTCAAGTCAAAAGCCAACAGGATCGGTGCAAGTTCATTTAACAAAGTTATCTCTTTGCTGTTTTCATTTGCTGGGTAGAATGTTGATTTGTCTCAGCTGATTCACTAACTAGTGGACATCCACACACTAGATCCCTTGCAGAGCAGGCATCATGCAGTCCTCAGAAGCCTGTGCTGTCTGAGGCACTGAGAAAGCAGGAGGAGACTGTCACCTCCAGCCACAAAGCATCCTCCTGCCATGGGACACAGAGGCCTGAAATCACCTCGAAGTTCAAAGCTAGGGGACATTCAGTCCACTAGATGGAAGAAAAAGTTTTGTTCTTTTTATATCTAAATCTGAGAAAAATCGACCCACAGTGCTTCTCAAAAAACTCCTTAGGAACTATTCAGATGCAATCTCAAAAGCCCTTGGGGGCCGCCTCTGAGATTAAGAATTTAGGTAGCAGTTTTATTATCAAGAACACATGCTAACTGGATTTCCTACACTCCTTCCTGTCTTCCTGGCTGGACTCTTTACAAAAGTACAGCTTAGTTAAGCAAGGAGAGAGGGATTCTTGCCCACCCAAGGAGCCCATCGGATCACTTATCCCCAGGTGGAATCCATTCTTAATTCTGCACGAGTAGACGGTGGTACAGTGCAGTACAATTGTTCTTGCTCATGTAGGCTAAGGCTGTGGACCAAATAAAAACCATTTCGTTGCTTTTGGGGAGCTTGTGATCTTGGGAGAAGGATCAGATGAGCATGCACTGGGTCCTTCTGACCTGACACAGGTTGTGAAGCAGTGACTCTCACACATGCAGGACTTGTTAGAGACACATGGCGACGTGGATGAGGTTTTTTGCATTTTGTTATTTTTAATTAGCAATTTCTTAACTTTTAAAGATCAGGGGGTCACACATAAGAAAGAGCCAGGTATCCTGTCTCTCTTGGAATGTGGAAATGTCTGACATTCCAGGCTCACATCCCCAACAAGAACAAATCAGTAGCTGGTGCTAGGTAGCAGCTGCTCCGTTTGAGATGGAGGGTGCGTTTACAAGTTCACTGAAGGTCTCACCACCTCTTAATACCGCACGCTCAGCCTGCTTCTCTCTTTAAGATTACCTATTTTGCCCTGTAGATGCTGGAATTTGAAGCCCTTATGTGATAAAGGGGGTATGTGGTAGAGGCAGCCAGCTGAATAATGACCCTCAAAAATACCTAGTTACAGGGGCTGGGAATTTAGCTGAGCAGCATAAGCGCCTGCCTGGCAGGTGCGAGGTCATGAGTTCAATCCCCGGTACCCCCCATCCAAAAAAAAAAAAAACCCTAGTTACTGGAATCTGGCAATATTTGTTTGTGCAACAAATGAAACTATATAGGAATAATTATGTTAAGGACACTGTGGTAGGGAAATTATCTTGAATTATTCTGATTGACCCTAAACACAATTACAGGTATCTTTAAAAGAAAGACACAAAGGGAAACCAAACACCGCAGTACACACCAGTAATCCCAGTTGTTTGGGAGATTGAGGCAGAAGCATTGCCAGTTTGAGGCCAGCAGCCTGGGAAAAAGAGGAAGAGGAGGAAGAGGAGGAGGAGGAAGAACACAACAAAGACATTAGCACCTGAGGAGAATTTTACCACAGATACGGAAATGGCAAGGGAACACAGGAAGCGAAGTTAGACTGGTGTGGCCATAAGCCAAGGAATCCCAACAACCACCAGAAAATGGAAAAGACAAGAAACAATGCTGTATTGGAGACTCTAGAGAAAAAAAAAATCCTGCCAACATCTTGTTTTTAGCCTCCTAAAGCTCATTTTGGACATCTGCCCTCCAGATCTGCAGGAGAATGTTTTAGCCACTAACTCAGTGCTTATTTGTTATAGCAGCAATAAGAAACTAATACACCCTGCCAACTAGTAAATTCAACAAATGCCTTGAGTGTCCCAATATAATAGACACTAAGGAGCTCAGGTTGCAGTAGGAGAAGACCGACTGAGTATGACTCTGAGGCACAATCAAGGCAGGATGTCGTAAGCTCCTGGGGATGTTGGAACATACCTGGGGAACTTCTATTCAAGGACTGGGGGGGGGGGGGTCTCCAGTTTTATTTGCAGGAAATATGCACGCATTGTTCTCTGTTGAGCAACCAAACTCCTTTTTGATCTGGACAGGGCTGAGGCTAGAGTAGGTAGACGGTGGGAAGGAGCAGGGTCGCCTTACCTCGCCTGTTGGATGAACTGGGCGGCTTTCTCGGCATACTTCTGTGCAAGGCTGCTCAGGTTCACGGGCTGCTCCACAATGTGGAGGTTCTCATAGAGGGGAAGGGCCACATCCATGTAACAGGCCCTCTCATGTTTCCTGCATAAAATCACAGAGAGTGGCGTGTTATGTCCAAAACCCATATAGTCATGGTATAGAATAAGAGGCTTTAATGCAGCAGTGCATTATGTATGTAATGTAAAACCTTTAACACTCTGACTCCAAAGGATTCGCCAGTCATGTCTTCCAAGTGTGAAACCAATAGAGGATATTTCCCGTTTTGAATAGATGTCTGTTACCCTTGGACAAGCTTTCTAGCTCACTAAGACTCTCACGAGCTAGGGACGTTATCACTGCTCCCATTCTGCGGGGAGATACACTGAGGTATGAATGAGCTGGCTTCTTTCAAGGCTAGTCTTGGTCCCTTGGCTGGCCTTCCCCCTGTTGTCTGCCTGCTTGACGACCTCTAGGTAAGGTTGGCAACACTTGGTTCTTTCCCAAGTTCACAATCAGGACTGTGGGTTATACAGCGCCTGACAATAGGATGAAATGTATAATACAGCCTGGGTAAATTTTAATTTTGATCCATGTGTGAAGACTTTGGAGATTAAGGAGAAAAAATGAATGTCAAGTCTAAACAAATCCTAGAAAAATCAAATTCAGTCATGGGTCTTAAGATTGACTGAATCTGATACATGGCTTCCCATCTACAGGGCGGAGTAACTACCATGATCTTACAGGAGTGATAAACTCTCAAACTTGAGCTTCCCTTCTGCAGGGTTCGAGGGTTCCAGGGTTGCCCGCACCCTTCTGAGGTATCCAGAGGACAAAAGAAGCTCACATAGTTTTGCACACTGCTCAGCACAGAGCAGTTTAGTAAACTCAAACTTCCTGCTCTGGCCACTGCAGAGGACTAAGTGACAACGTGAGACTGTTGAAGAGAGGGCCAGGTCACAGGGTGTCTTCCAGGCAGACAGTATTACACAGGTGTGACTGAAACAAACGGCCAGCTTTTCAGTGCAAAGTACCCATTACAGTTAAAGACACGCCGCCATTTAGTTCCCCCTAGAACATGCACCTTCACATTAAACATACTTATCCCAGTATGCCTGCCGCTTTCCGAGGCTGTCTGAAGTCCTCTTTCATGCATTGTGAGGTATGATAAAAAGAAACGACCGTGCATGCTCCTCCAGGGTGGCTTCCCACAGAAAGGTAGGCTCGTGGGAACCTTCCCGCGATCCTCACCTGCCTCATTCACTGCATCTGGCAACTGCTGACTCTTCCCCAACGTCAAAATGACCACTAAAGGTAAGATTTTGAGCTGATTCAGCACACGAGGCAGCAATGAAAGCCCAACAAAAGTTGCAAGAAAGAACTTCCACAATGGCTTCAGAAAGCGGCAAGAATGGTAACTGTGTTCCAGGTGGGAACATTTTGAGAGGATGTCATTTACAGTAACCGTTTTTTAAGTATCCACCTTATTTGTTGATGGCACCTCATGGATGGCCTAACAAAGCCATTAGGACAAAGTGTCCTCTCAGTACCGAGAAAGGATTGTGAAGAATTTGAAATTCCCTGTTACACCTACACACACTCGCATCCCATTACAGATGCTTATGAGATAAGATCTGACTGGGTAAATAATTGCCAAGAATGACATTTTTAGAAAAAGAAAAAATGTCATCACCATGCTGATCGTCACAACACTAAATTCACATTTGTGTTGAAATTTCAGCTTTTAATGATCTCACTGCTACTCTACCATCATTTAGTCTCTCCATCACTCATCCTCAAGCCAACCTTGTTTTATTTGATTTGATTTTCTTTTTTCTGAGACAGAGTCTCACTATGTAGTTCAGGCTGGCCTTGAACTCATAGGAATCCTCCTGCCTCAGCCTCCCAAGTGCTGAGATTACAGGCGTGTACCACCACACCAAGCTTTTATTTGAGTTGACTTTAACATGTGTAAAAGGAACTGTTTTCAATCCCTACAGCCAAAAAATGGTGGGGAGGGGGACCCTGACATATATCGCACCCTGATATAGCCAGGTATGTTACAGGTGTGCCCTCAAGGCCACAGTCGAGAAGAAGGACAGCAAGATTGAAGCCTTGCTTCTCAAACTAATATACACACACATCGTCTGAGCGTCTTTGTTAAAATGCAGATCTAGGATGGGGTCTAAAGTTCTGCATTTCTAATGACATGTCAGCCATTGCCACTATGCTGGCCCAATGACCACACTTTGACAAACAAGTGTGGAGACTGGAATCTGGATTCCTATCTGTCGGCAGCTCTGGTGTCACCTGGGCACAGTAAATGTTCTTACTGGTAAATCAGGTACATGCCTGCTTCACACAGGTGTGGAGAGTGCCTGGAATGTAAGAATTTATCCATATGCAAAATTTTTTTTTTTTTTTTGTCTTTTTCCTTTTTATCGGTACCAGGGATCGAACTCATGACTGTCTGCTTGCAAGGCAGGCGCGTATGCCGCTGAGCTAAATCCCCAGCCCCAAAATTATGGTAGTCTTTTCTCTCCTCTATTAAAAAATTATACTATACACATGATTAATCTCAAATGCACAGATAGTTATCTAGGGGAAGAAAGTTCAAGGATTTTTTTTTTCAAAAGGGCATCCATAATTCACACTGGGTAAATTATATTTTGCTATAAAAACAAATAATTGGTGATGTTATGATCATGGTATATAATTGTGCTTGGTGATCCACACCCATGATCACATCACTCGGGGAGGCTTAAGCAAGAGGATAAGAGCTTCAAGCTCAGGATAGTGAGACAAAGAATCAAAATTCAAAATAATGATAACTAAAACTGTAAAAGGCCTGGATATTCCTCAGAGTGAAGATCCTGGGCCAAATCTCTACTATTACAACAAATAGCTTGTAATAGTTTCTATAACTGTGCAATATCCTTCCAATTACACCTAAATAATGTTGGCCAATCAATTTTTAAGCTAACAGAGAAACAAAATTTCCAATTATGGCTCAACAATGATTAGGTGAACTTAGCAGTAACAAAAAATTTATATAACTTCATGTAAATTTCTTTATTTCTTCCAAAACTAAAAACTTAAGCCATATTCAAACTGAGTCTGCATAGAATTCATCCTTTAATTCAAACTAATAACACTTTCAGAGGAAAACCACAAGTTCAAGAGCTGATTTTGACACCCATCAATATCTCGTTTTCCCACATTGTATGTAATCTACTTTGTGCCTCCCTGCACAGAACACAATTTTATTCCCGGTTATTGACATGCTTATAGCCCTACACTTGGTGTTTGCCCCAGTTACAATATCGCTTTTATCCATTATTCATTCCTACCTCATTCAGCACTTAATTTGTTTTGAGAAAGGGTCTCACTTTGTAGTTCAGATTGGCCTTGAACTCACTGTGTAGGCCAGGCTGAACTTGAACCTCCAACATTCCTACTGCCTCAGTCCAACTGCTGGAATTACAGACATGGTCCACCACATTTAGCTAGTAAGTTATTTTAAAAATAAGATCTACAAATTATCCATGAACTATAGCAGTTATGTGAAAGATGGTGCTTCTCTGTCTTTTTACCCACTTACAGATCACCTGTGGATGCCCTACTTCTAGGAGATTCGGAGTTTGGGTTTCATAGTCAGCCCAAAATTGTGCTTTATAGCATTAAGATGAAAGTATCTTTTCCTCTTTACCTAGATAACTTCCTGTCCTTTTTTTGCCATTCTGAACCACAAAAATCTTACCATTTATCTTTCTTTATTATAATCTTCTGGATATAATATAGTACTTGAAGTATGCTTGACCACATTTCTAACATTGACTCTCATTCCAGGAAATACTGAACATTTCTTTCAATTTTCATGCAATTTGTAAAAACTCTAGGATTATGGAGAAGTGTTTGGGAACTTTGGAATTTACAGACATGACAATCAAACTCAGAATGTTTGAGATCCTGAATCTAAACTTTTAACAAAGTTAGCATAATTGGGTGGTTTAGTCACTTCCCTGTTAGCAAAATAAAATACTAAATGCCTACAATTTAGAGGAGAAGTTTTCACTGACTCAATTTCAGTTTGTGATCTGTTAGATCCATGGTAGAAATGTAATGGGAAAGGGGCATGGTGGAAGAAAAGGTACTCAAGGCATGCAGGCTGGATGGAGGGAAGTACGAGAGGTGTGCAAACAAGAATACATTTTTGCTTTTAGGGACCATCTCAGACAGGTCCTGACATCCAAGCTGCACATTCAGATACTGAATTCACCCGTAAATGAATTCACTAATGAGGACAGTGTGTATAGAAATCAATCAACTTTCAAACTCACAAGACACTTGAGAGCCATTTTAGATATAAAGCATAATACCTGGTCTGCTGCTGGGAGACAACAGTGCATTGAACACTGCGTATTCTCACCCACACAGAAACCTCACACTTGGATCATGCAAATCCCTTCAACCATCCTGCTCACTGAGCAGCACAGTGGGAGCAGGGCTGCAGTTAGTGAGCCAACAAAGGCAAAGATCTGGCCGTGATGAAGTCACCTCCCTGGGACAGGATGCTTAGGTTCTGGCAGATGTCTTTTTTTTTATTAAGGAGAAAAAGAAAAAAAAAAAAAACAGAAATAGGGTACAAGTTATACAGAATTTCAGAAAAAATAAACAGTAGGAAATCACTAGTTAATAGATTACATATTGTTATCTTAGAAATAGTTGTTCAAGTTACAAAATTAAAGCATATAAAGTGGACTTTCAAACAGTGAGACTGCAAACAGTTTTGTTCAATGATCCAGCAAAACTCAGTAATATGGTGATCTATCTTATACACTTAAATATATATGCGGTTATATTCTTTAGAGCACTTTCTTTTCCTTTCTTTTGTACAATGACAATTACACATTTTGGGTTTTATTACTCCCACAGTTCTTATTACTTTTTTTTGAAGAGAGTAAAACCAAATGTGACATACCAGACAGGACGGTCATACCAGGACAGAGTCAGTCAAATCAGAAGGATGAACATAACAGATAATGTAACAACAAAATACTAGGTGATCAACAATGGTTACCATACTGCCTCTTGCTATCTTAAAAAGAATTGCCTATAACATCAGTTATAATAAAATTGAACAAAACAGTAAAGAATAAAACCAAAACATTGGAGACATTACAGGGCTTTAAAAGAAGATAATAGTCACCCGGAATGGGCGTCATAGTGAATCTTACTGTCTTTACAGTTGTTGCCTATGCTTTCGAACTTGGTACTATCAAGCCATACGCGGCGGCTCTTACATTAACGATGAGCTCTTAGCGCACCACGGCAGACTCGCGTTTCCCCCTGCAGCTCACACACCTGTGGCCTTAGAATCAGGCGCAGGACCCGTGCTGGTTTATTAGCTGCATAAACCTGGTTGCCTTTTTCTAATGATAATTCCACTGCAAGCTCTCTGCAGGAATACAGTGAGGAGAAAATGGAACCCCCTACCCCACAACTGGAGTGAACCTTGGTCAGCACCTTTCCTTGGAGTCTCTCTGAATAATGCTCTGAAGATACGGACACGGCATGGAGGAACCCACCAAAGACTCGGTCCCTGCTCTCCCGTTTGCTGTTAAATGAGCATTCTCTCAGCTCACAGAATATGTTTTTAAAGCATCTTATTTGGTGCCTGCAAGGCATTCCAATGTCAGAATGATGTCATTCTTGTCTAGGAGGTGGGAGGGGGTCACGAGGGGCACCGTAATGTCCCCCCTCTCTCTCTTTCACTCCCTTCTGTGTTCAGTGTCTGGGCCAGGGAAGGGATCCTAGAGCAAAGCCAGGAGTCAGATGAGGAAAGAAGCCCCGCCTGTGTGCCCAGGCCCCACCTGGGCAGGACATGGTCTCCCCTAGCCTGTGCTGAACAAATCAAGAACCCTGAAAATTCCAACAGGAAAAAATGCCCAGCTCTCGCCATTGCCTCGGTGTACAAATAATGCACACACAGTCACCCCCGGTGGCCCCTACTATACCCTCTGTCTTAACTGTCCCTCATCTGCACCTCCCACCTCCTCTCGAGAGACCACAGTCTCACCCTGCGCCCGCCCTGGAGCCCATGGCCAAGGCCTTGGATAGATTTACCTCAGTGGGCCACCCCCTGGTGGACACGCTGGGCAGGGAGGGTGGTTGTAGCCCGGGGTGTCAGTACAGCCCATGTCATGGCTATATGGGATCCCAAAGTAGTAATCAAAACCTGGAAAACAAGCAACCAGTTAACAATCCACTCAGCCGCTGCCCCCCACCGCCCGTGCCCGGCTGCTTCCTCGTACAAAAATTCAGTTTCCCATGGTTTAATATCGCAGTGCTCTGGAGTACATAATTAAAAAAAGATGTGATTAATATTCTTTTGAAGTATGCAAAGAAAATCACGTTTCTGGGTTCTGCCCGTAAGACTAGATTTGAACATCTTGTGGTTAGAAGTAACCCAGATTGGGAGGAAATGGAGAGAACCATTGAACATTTAACACATTTAGTATTGGCCGAAATCTAATGCATGCATGACACTTTAAGGGATAAAAATAAATAAATTCTGCCTTTAAGAGACTCTTCTACCTGAAGCAGAAATAACATATATCATTGGTTAACCCATCAGAGACTGGCAGGTACACCACTGAAGTATATCAGAGGAAGCTGCCACCCCCACATGCAAGGGCTGGGGTGGGGCTGGGGTGGGGCTGGGGCAGGAATTTCAAAATGATTCTTGAAGGATGAGCATTTCTGCTGGGACCTGGGAGGCGGGTGGGATTTAATCTTGGAGTGGCGGGGTAGAGAGGAGACAGGACGGATGTGACTGCTGACACCTTAGGTTTCAGACATCCTTCCTCTTCACCAACACCAGCTTTTATCCACAGGATATAGCCACAGAGGCAACCAGAATTCACTCACAAATTCTGCAGAAATTCCTCAGTCATCGAAGGAACTGCTTTCCCTAGAAGTGGACAGAACTCGAAACTCCCCAAGAATTTGATTTACCCTCAGCTTCCAACTCCAGGCTCTGCAAACAAGGGCCGCTGTCCCTTCAGTCCCATTTCCTGCCCCGCAGGTGTCTCTCCCTGACCCAGGGAGCTCCAGTTTCCTGGCTGCCTGCCTGCCTCCCACCTATGAGAGGCAGCCCTGGCTGGAATTCCCCGCTGTGTCTCTCACAGGAGGAGCTGTTTCACTGCTGCCCAGCCCATTCCGAAGTTCCCTGCAGAATCCCCTTCCTTGCACGACCAGCAGCCCTCACCTCCATCCCTTTCATATTCTTGGCACATCCTTTGGATCAGCACTGGTGATGTAGGTCATCTCCACTAATGTCGCTCTTTGGGTTGGGGTATTAGACGTTCATTAACCCAACAGATGGTGTAGTAGACTTACCAGTACTGAGAAAAAATGGATAGCTCCTCACTAGCCTAGTTTGTACAAATAAATTTGCATAACCTATAAGTAATGACCTAGCCCTGAGCTGTTACTGCCTTTCAGGTGGCAAGATGAATCTAGACCAGTATTTCAGGTTTTATGGCCCACATGGTCTCTGCTGAGGCTTTTTAACTCTGCTGTTGTAGCCCAAATTGCCTAAAGGAAAGATTACACTGATGAGCATGACAGTTTTCTAACAAAACTTTATTTGCAAAAACAGATGGCTCGCAGAGCATGGTAGTGCGTGCCTGTAAGCCCAGTGTCTAGGAGGCTGAGGCAGGAGGATTGCAAGCTCAAGCCCAGCCTGGACAACTTAGTAACTTGGCAAGACCCTGACTCAAATATTAAAAGCATCAGACGAGGTCTGGGAATGCAGCTCAGTGTGAAGGCTTTGGGTTCAATCCCCCATACAGCAAAAACAAGTAAGCAAACAAATCAATCAATAAGATGGCTTAATGGCTTTGGCCCACTGATCTATATTAACCCTGGTCTAGACCACAGGTGTCCTCAGACCCAGAGTTGTGTTCCCTGGAGAAACAACTAAGGATGGAGGACCCGGGATGGATACAAGCACCGTGACTGTGTTTGGCATGATCTTCAGAAGGGCTCCCTGAAAACTGCAGGGAAAAGGGCAGGGTATGTGTTCCTATCGGGAGCAAAAGATAGGAACCAAGAAAGTCCACGCCACAAGGCTTTGGGGGACCGTCTGGTCCAGGAATAGCAAATCCGTAGGAGGTGCTGACTTTTCCTTCTTCCTACTCCCTTGGCAGACACCATAAATCTGTCAAGGTACCACTTCCTGCTGAGTGACGCCAGGGCTCCGTATACCTCCCCAGAGCGCGACTCAAGATGTCAACAGCAAGACACAGTCAAGCATGAAAACTAAAGACCAAAGGGAAAAATAAATTCTGGAGTAAGGTTTCCTTAGGTCTTCACATCCTCCCTCTGCCATTTTTTAAAACACTTGTGGGCAAGTGTGGTGGTACGTGCCTGTAGCCCTACATTGAGGAGGCAGAGGCAGGAAGATTTCAAATTGGAGGCCAGGCTGAGATACACAACGAGATCCTGTCTCTCAAAAATTAAATAAATAAACAAATAGCACACATGGAAGACCATGGCGATGCATGCCACCTGCCAGTTCTAAGACACAGCACTGCAGCCCTTTTGCACAAAGATGGGGAGAGATGGAGCAGGGGAAAGTAAAATGCTGCGAAGAATTAGAAGACTGCATTAAAGCAAAGGGCCACCTACTTGTTTATAAAATGGCAGGAGGGGAAGGGGTACAGTGGGAGGACCAGGGCCGGGTGAAAAGCCATGAGAGCTGAGAGTATAGTAGGCTGTTTCTAGGAGAAACTCCACAGGTCAGGTTCCCATATGAAATGGAAAAGTTCAGGGAAAGATGAGAGACACAGCTATGGCTTTGAACACGCGTGAGTATTTTGCAGACTAAGACATTCAGGGAATCTGGCATTCAGCAAAGTATTTTCAGAGAATGAACTGCGGCGGCTTGATCTTGGCCTCCTTCCCCCGAGCGGAGGACAGGAGGACTGAGGAAGCCCACAGCAGCAGGAAGAGGCCAAAAGCCCCTGTTGGACATGGTTACCTAAGCCCCTCTTTCAGCAAACTCATCAGAGAGCTTACGTCTTTCCAGGGACCTTGCAGGGCTGAATGTCTTCAGAGGGGTAAAGAACTAGGGCACAGAAATAGAAGGGCCCACAAGGGAGCAGCCACAGCAAGAAAGAGGTTCAGGGCGAGGGGCACCCTGGCACCCCATTATACCTAACTAAACTTGTGAACTAAAGTGTGCTAACACAGTGGGAAGCTCTCTGGGAGCAGGATGGCTCAAATGTCAATAGGGTCCTTTTACACTGAGATCCTAATTTTCGGTTTCCTAGGTAGCAGGGCCCCAAAAGCATTCTTACCACGAAAGTTGGGGTGATAAGATCCATGGTGCCCAAGATGCCATTTGCCTGTGGAAAAACAAAACAGAGAGGTTGGGAAGAATCCCTGTGAGGACCCTCAGAGCCTGCCAGAAGCTGATTACATGCTCAGATCTCTGTGGGCTTCAAGCTTCACCTAGGACAAGCAAAGAGAATCAGCCAATCCTGCAAGGAAACTGTGCCTTGCTCTGCAGGGAGACAGACAGCAAGCAAGGATGATTCAGGGCTCACGCAGGAAGCCACAACAACAGGGGAGCACAGGCTATCCCCGGGAGTCTCTGTCCTCCGTGCGGGATCAGGAGCCACGGCACCCCACGTAGCAAAGGTGCAGCTAGCCCAGGATGCAGGGGTGCACCACATCACACAGAAAGGCCCAGCTCCTGCTTGATTCCACCGTCTCTCTTTCTGGGCAACGTCAGCAGCGGCAGGGGCTGGAAAGACACGGCCTCCTTCCCTGCAGCTCCAACGCGGCTCATTCATGGGGCAGCAAATGAGAAAACAAAGCAGCCCGTGGCTCCTTGCTCTGGAAGTGACTCAGTCTGGGAGAATAATTGGGCAATAGGAGACAGAGCTCTGACTGTCAAAACCTCTGATCACTGTTCACTGTGTGTTGAGGAAAATCACTCCCAAGACAAGAGGGCAAAGAAATGGATGGGACACAAAGATCTAGAGTGGCACCATCCGATAACAAAGGAGAGATGTTCATGGGCAGCCCCAGGAGGAGGGCTAAGGGAATGATTTGATGTGGCCTCAATAAATAGTACCAAACTATCATTTAAAGACAACACAGTCAAATGTGGTGGTGCAGGCCTGAAATCCCAGCTCAAGAGAAGGCTGAGGCAGGAGGATCCCAAGTTGGAGGCCAGCCTGGGCAACTCCATGAGACCTTGTCTTAAGGAGATTGAGGATGTAGCTCAATGCAAAGCCCTAATTCAGTTCCTGGTGCTACAAACAAAACAACAGACAAATGCAGGTGGTGAAAATAATCAGAGAATCTGCGTCAAGGACCCATAGACTCCATTATTACCTTCTTGCAACTGCCCCATACATTTCTAAAACTGTCTTAACAAAAGAGTGAGGGAAATGGATTAAGCATTATTATCGAATTAAGCATGGCATGAAAATATAAGATTAACATTGAGACTAAAAAATCATTGTTTAAAATTAGAACAGTTATAATATATATCCAGAATTACACGGAAAGACAAAATATCACATCGAGAGAGAAAAGTAGAGTCAGGTAGTTTGTACACAAGTAGTAACAACACACAGATATTGACCAATATTAGAAGCAAAATTACTAAAAAAAAAAAAAAAATAGAAGAAGAAAGAGTGAGAATGGAAATGGGCTTGACATTTCTTTTAAATTTTTCTTACATTTGTGCCTTAGCTTATATTTCGACAGATGGATGTGCTTTTAGCACACGCAAAGGCCTAGTGAGGAGTTGGGTAGGGCAGCCAAGTGACAGCCCTGTCCTCAGACCCTCCCTTGGTGTCTGTGCCCGAGGAGGGAGGCGCAGGTGAGATGCTGGGAAGAACCCAGCCCTTGGGGCAGGCAGCATAAGGTTCTGGAGCCAGGCAGCCTGGGACTCAGCCCGTGACTGTGAGGATTAAATGCACACAGGTACAGAGTCTGGTCAGGACAGTCTGCCCTGAGGGAGCCTCAGACGTGGTCTGGGCGTTCATTTTGTTCACATAATTATGCCTCAGGGTATAGGGAGAAAGGGACTGGAAAGAGAGAAGGGCCTGAGTTGGTCCCTCCTGCTGTCCACTTGGGGCTTACCCTCCTGGGACAATGAACCTCTCTCTCTAGTTTGAGCTCCTATGAAACATGTCAGGTTTGCTTATTTATTTGTTTGTCTGTTTGCTCACTGGTACCAGGGATTAAAGCCAGGATCTTTGCACTGAGCTACAAGCCCAGCCCTTTTTTATTCTTTTGAGACAAGGTCTTGCTTGTCTCAAAGGTGATGCACGCAACACCGCATCTAGCAGGATGTCAGACCCCTGAACAGAGAGGAGGAGGCTGCAGCAACACCAGAGGCGCCAGCCCTTGGTCTGGGAAGAGCGATCTCCTAAGGTCAACACAGGAGACTCCAGATACCAGGGCCGTGGCTACAGGGACCCTTGCTGTCCCTTGTTTGTTAGCACACTCTCCCTTGCCATTTTGCCATGATGAAGGGAGGCAGGAATCCCATGAGACCCACTTCTTTGAGAGACTAACAAACCCAGGCAGCTTAGGGATGCTGCTGGGATCCAGGTTATCTCGGCATGTGCAGGGAGGTGGCGGGGAAGCAAAGCCCAAGGGCCAGGCATGGTTGGAAACTCTCCAGAGCAGCCACCTGGGCTCCAGGCCAGGCAACACTGAACAGGTCCCTTCCTGGTCCCAAACTCGGTCCTCTCATTTATACTCCGGACAAATAATGATCTTGCAGGCATCCTTACACTCGGATGCAAATAAAGACTTTTCTAGGGCCTGTCACATAACAAATGGAGAATTCGAGCTGCCTGGATGATATTTACAAGAAAAGGCAGTCACTGAACAATGAGGCAGGTGGCTGCTGCTGCCTTCTCGCCCTACAGCCACATCCACACTTACCTGCTAACAGATCCTTGGCTCTGTGGGGGAGGGGATGGAGGGTCCCAGTGGCCAGGGGCCAGGCCAAGCATTCTAACCCTGTCTCCACTTTCTCCTTCCCTTGCAGCCCAGTGGCCCACGGCCCAGCTTTAAGTGCAGTTGTAGGGATGCTCAGTATCTGGGAAATGATTTGATTCTTGATAAAAAAGAGGACAAATCCATTCTTGATAAAAGTGCAGCTACCTCCTCTCTTCTTCCAAGTTCCTGGAGTACAGGGCACTGAAGCTGCTACATCACAGCCATGAGGCAAGAGGCAGTGGACAGTGGCCAACATCCTAAGGGTAGCAGGACAAGAGAGAAAGCATCTGGTTCCCTAAGGCACTTTCCAGCGATGGAGCTAATGAAAGCAACCACTTACGGCATAGTTTGTAGTAATGGAAGAAAAATTGTTCTGTATCTTTTGACCTCTATTTTTCTGGTACTAGCACTGAACTATTTCCTCACCAATCCCCTTCTTATTTTCTTTGGAAACAGAGTCTTACTAAGTTGTCTAGGCTGCCCTTAAACTCCAGCTCCTCCTGCCTCACCCTGTGGAGTAGCTGGGATTACAGGTGCACGTTACCGTGCCTGGCTGGCTGCACACACATTTTAATCCACTGTTAGGTCTTTTCAGTTATAGCCGCTGGAAGAATTCCTGCTTCATTCAGCAAGAAATGAACAAAGAAGCAGGCACAGTACAAGAGGTAGTGTTGAGTGAGGCCCTGCAGAGCGGCCACCCAGGTCCAAGCTACAAGGTGAGGCCCAGTGTTACCTATCATGCCGGTGACATAGCCGGCCTGCTGCAGCACCTCTGCCAAGGTGGTTTCGTTGAGCGGGAGGCCTCCCAGAGAGGTAACCGCGAAGTTGCGTGTGACTCCATTGCGAAGGCCCAGCCGGCCGGTAAGCAAGGAAGCTCGGGAGGGTGAGCAGGTGGATGCGGCCGCATGGAAGTCCACAAACCTGCAAAGGAAGGAGTGTGATCAGACCCGCCCAGCCACAGGACACCGAATCGGTGGAGAGGGCAACTGTCACCCAGTTCCCAGGACTTGGTGCTGGGAAAAAGTGTAACGTCACCTAGTCATGGAGTAAGTAAAGGAAATATGAAGCTCAGAAAGGTAATGCCACGAGCTCAAGATCACACAGCTACTTCAAAGCAGTGTACCCATGAATGAATAAAAACCCATGGGTCTACAATGACACTGAAGTCATTTTCACCATCAGAGGAGAACATGACACCAACTCTCTCTGTAACAATTCATAGAGGGCAGGACCACTTGGAATGACCCACAGCCATTGCTGGACAACAAGGGCCACCATCTTCTACTAAAAGCCAGAAGCTGGCTCACACAAAAGGGACAGAAGCTTTAGGAAACTACCATCTTGCCTCCAACCCCCCATACGATAATTGATGACCGGTGGAAGGGACTTTCACACTGTCACATAATGTCACTCTTGGGTCACCCATAAATTAGACAGAGCTGGCAATTATCTCCTGCTAACATGATTAGATTTAGTGTCTCTTATAATGAGCCCTGACCTTGTGTGTCCCCTGATGTGATGTCATATGAAGTTTATAAAATCAAGGATGCTTGCCAAAAACATTTACCCTGAATCTAATCAAACGTCTGGACCTAATTTCCAGGTTACAGGAAATACAGTTAATAGAAGAACAAATTAACACCCCAAGGAAATTGTGGAATAAATTGGTACCTTGGCATTTCTGAAAATACCCAGCCTAGACCCTTCAAAAAGTCAGTTTCATGGGAAAAAGATGAGATGGGGGGGCCACAGGTAACCTTCCACACTAGATAAAACCACAGAGATGAAGCAAATTCAATGCAAGATATCTGACTGTTCTCACTTCAAATAAGGTAGCAACACATTCGGAAGATAATAAGCAAGTCTTCATGCTGGCTAGATGTATAAGATTAGGGAATTGTGTTCACATTTTTTGAATAATAAAGGTATTGCAGGCATGTGGAAGAATGTTCTTAAGAGATGCACATTGCAGCATTTGTAATGAAAGGACATGATGTTTGCATTCTTCAAATGATTCAATGCAAAGAAGAATTTATTTATAGCTATGGCGAGTATAAGCAAAAATAGCAAATTGTTAGCCATGGATGAGTGTCTTGGTGTTTATTTTACTATTCTTTTTTTTTTTTTTTTTTTTTGCAATACTGGAGATTAAATCCAGAACCTTCACACTGAGCTATACCCCTAATCCTTTTTATTTTTTATTTGTAGATAGGGTCTTACAAAGCAGGTTGCCTAGGCTGGGCTCAGATTCTTCTGCCTCTGCCTCCCAGCTTGAAATTTTTAATATTAAAATTTTTTTAAATTATGGAGCCCCAGAGTCTCGAATGACAAGGACAGTGGCAAAAAAAGTACTGGTCTAGTGCTGGAGGAGACGGAGAGGTGGCTTAAAGTGTAGCAGGGCAGCTCCGCACCTCACTGTGTCTGACTGCGAGGAGCTGCCGAGCAATCTCATCCATCAATCACGCGGGGCAGAAGGGAGGCTGCGATCCAGTAGGGTAAGGGGCTGCTTCTCCAACAAGGATGAGATGAGAGGATGCTTAATGCTCCGCAGCTGGGCATGGTGGCCCACGCCTGTGAGCCTAGCCACTCGGGAAGCAGAGGTAAGAGGATCAAAAGTTTGAATCAAACCAGCCTGGACAATTTAAAGAGAGACCCCTTATTTTTAAAAAAAAAAAAAAAAAAAAAGGCAACTAAACCTCAGCCTGACATCACTTATGCTGCTTCTTTCTGACCACTAGGACCCACTACGATGCTGTGCATCCCTAGTATTCTCACACCCCCAGAATTGTGCCTGAGAGAAACCCCACCCTTCCCGGACCCCAGCATCTGCAGAGATGGGGTAACCTGGTCTGCAGACCAGCAAGTGGATTCTTCCCTTTGCGCTGGTTTTCTTTTCTTTAAAAGAAAAAAAAAGGTACAATATTCAAGCCTAGAAATCGTAAGACAAAAGCCATTTTAAAAATCTTAAAGATCAATTATCAATTATCGTATGATCCAGAAATTCTGTTCCTAGAAATTATTTTAAAAACTCAAGTCAAATCCTCTAACAAATACCACACATATTCCTAGTACTACTACTCACAATAGCCAAAAGGTGACACTCATCAAATGTCGACCCTCAGATGAATGGATATAAATACATTGTGTTATGTCAATCCAATGAAATAATACTCAGTAATGAAAAGGAACACAGTACTAGCATATACTACTACATGCAGGAACCTATAAAATGTTACAGTAAGGCTGGGGATGTGGCTCAGTGTTAGAGGCTTGCTCAGCATGTATGAAGCCATAGGTATAACCCCCAGCATCACAAAAAAGAATTATGCTGGGTTGAAAAGCCAGACCTAAAATGCCATTATATAACTGAGTTAAGTATAAACCATTAACAATTCAGTCCAGTTCAGTTTGCAACCAGAATCGTAAAAAGAATTAAGTTTGTGAACCAAGATACCACTATATTTTGGCACATGGTAGAATCAACAATGGGTGAGCTCCATGACACAAATGGCATGACAGAGGGGTCTGGGGGAGCAAAGCTGTTCAACCCACGGTAGAGAAAGAAGGGAGGGACTGGAGAGGAGAACACAGAGCACTCTTTCAGGTCAGTCCTGCTTGCCCCACCTCCACTTCCTGCCACAGTCAGCTACTGAACTCATCAGTGAATTAATCCACTGGTGAGTAGAACGCTCCCATGATCCAGTGACTTTCCAAACACTTTGGGGGAGCACATTAGATCTAAACCATAACAGAGGGTCATTTCTCACTTCATTCATTTATTCCAAAGGACTGGATGGTCCCTGAAAGGAGAGAACTTGTCTAATTATATATCTTTTGGCATATCCTTAGAAACAATGAATATTACTTCTTTGGTCTCTTGTTTAGAGCAGATTCAGGTTGGCCCCAAATTCTTCAGCATGCCTCCCATTGAGAGATGGGGTTGGTGTCCTCTCCCCCCAAATGGGGGCAGACTCTATGATTTCTTTGACCAATAGAATAATGTGGGAGTAAGTGATACTATGCTAATTTCTAGTCTTATATGACTGGTGGCTTCCCCTTCCTTTCTTGAAATACTCAGAGCCACCATATAAGAAATGGGGCAACCCTGGGACCACCATGCTGGGGAGGCCACCATGCTGGAGAGGCCAGCTGGCTCTGGCCAGCTGAAGCCATCACCATGGAGATAGAGATTATAAGATCAAGGCCATCTCAGTCTTCCCAAGCTGACCATCTGCTTACTGAGTTCCACAGTGTGACCCCAACCAATATAACATGCGAAGGAGGAACTGCCCACCCAAGAAGGGCCAGAATTCCAGCCCACAAACAAATCATAGGCTATAATCACATAGCTGTTATTGGAAGCTAAGTTGTGAGGAGGTGGTTTATTATTCTGAGTCACACAACCAGAACAATGTCTGTCTCTCTCTCTGGACAATATGCACCTCACTGTTAAGTCCCCAGCACAGCACAAAATGGGAAGATGGGTTAATTGTCCAACACCATTTGCACAGAGAAGAGACATCCTCAGAGAGCAGGGAAACAGAACTATGAAATCTCAGTTCTGCAAGCCTGTTCTTGCACTGTGGCTGCAGAGCCACAGCCTTGGAAGTATATGATGCTTTCACCTGACAGAACACAGGGACAGCCTGCATGAACACACTACAGGGTTCACACCTCGGGGAACTTGTGGATCCTCAACTGTGACACCCATCTTGCCTGATGACTTTCATCTCTGTTCATGGAGGGGGCTTGGAGAGGAAATTTTCAGTCTTCCTTCCCTGATCTCCAGGTTGCCTGGAGCAACATTCCTGGCCACAGGTTTCTTTCAAAACATCCTCAGGAGCCAGACACAGCAGGCCCAGATCTGCAGGCCCCAGCCTCCTTGGAAAAATCCAAGGTCTTGGACGTGGATATTGCAGGGTGCCAGCAACCGTTACATCTCCTTAGATTTCCAGCCTAAGTTCCATCCACGGCTTACACATTTGCTCCCAAAACATTCGTATCTGGCTAGCTTGGTCTGTCCCCTTCCTCCTGAGGTTTAAGCAGGAATCCTCCTTGTGCATATTCCTAAACTGTCCTTATGATAATTCTCATCAGGCTCACAGCTAATGCTTAGGAAACACTTACTGGAATCCAGGCAGGATTCCAAGCCCTTCACATACATTTTTTTAAAGTTATAAGCATCTGTTGTGCTTGAACTTATTCTGGCTTGAATTTATAGCTCCGAATGGAATGACCCACTCTCATGGGTGTCATTGCTTCATCCCCAGCAGGATCAGCTGCGTGATTTCCAGGGATCAGAGCAAAATGAAAAGGCAGGGCCCCTTGTTCCAAAAACCATTAAGCATTTCAGCACGGTGACGGCAAAGCATCAAACCCAAGGCACAGTCCTTCCAAGTGTGGGTCTCTGGGTAAATGTTTAGGCCACCTGCCTGTAAAGCTGGTGCTGCATAGCATCGAGAGCTGGGACTTAAACCGCCATTCCCCTTCGGTCCACTGGGCTCCCTAGCGTCACCAAAGAAACACCTGTTGCTCTCCAGACCCAGCTATTGCTCCTATTGTTTCCTTTACCATTTTATGCAAGTCTGTCTGATTCTTCTTTAGACTTTCCCTGCATGCTTGCTCTTCCTCTACAAAGCTTTCTGGTCTCCGTGAACAGCTCCGCTTCCCATCCAGTTACGTAGTTACTTTCCCGGCCCCCTTTCCACAGCTAAACTATTTTATCACACCCTATTAACTCCACTTTCAGATCTATCCCTCTCCATCTGCCTAATTCCAGTCCAAGGTGCCATCATCCTGCACCCAGACCATTGTCGTGGCCTCTGTACTGCCTCCCTAAGCCACCGTGCTGCATGACACTAGTGGGCATCATGCGGGCCTTGGTTTGAAGTTAAGCAATGCCTGATCTGCCCAGCTAGCTG